ATATATACTAAAAATGTCGATGTTAAGAAAGTCACGTGATCGGTGATAGTCGAGTGTACAGTGATTATTCATTATGATTCTAACAGCGTAGCGACCTGTCAGATATTCCGACGCGGCGCGCGCGCAAGACTATACTTTCACTGGTTAGCAAGTGTTGTAGTTGTAGGTTTACAACCTACCAGGACGCGTGCCGAGTTGGACTCGTCGACGGTATATATATATGGAACAGATATTTTACGAGTATCACCCGTTAAGTGTTGTAGGTTTACAACCTACCAGGACGCGCGCCGAGTTGGACAAATATTTTACGAGTAGCACCCGTTAAAGCAAGTGCAATTTGCAAGGCTGTGTGATAAAGTGGCTTAGCAAACCATTTATGAAATAATTACATATTGTGTACAAAGCTCAAAGTGCATTTAATAAATCATAACATAACTAAATTTAAATCAAAACTTTTGCACCCTGCACAGCGCAACCATTACACGAATTGTTCAATCAGTATGGTCCAAACCTAACCACCATTTATCAACTGACACAACCATAGTGGTGGCTGGTCCTATATCTCCACAAAACGTTTTTAAGACCAGCAGGATCCTTCTCTGATTAAAGTTCTTTTTTAAAAGAATCATTCTTTTCATGTTTAGTGTAGGTCTTATCAACAATTTGGAAAAACTTAACTAAGGTACTAGCTAGCTGTCTATGGGCAACATGCAATGTTATGCCACTGATGAGTACTTAGTGAAAGTTTTAAATGTGGAGAAGGCAACCTTCACCCCAACGGTATTTCTCACATCTGGAGGTATGTCGAGAGAGTGTAAGCAAATTGTCAATGGACTTCATAGCCAGAAAGAGAGGTATTGTAATGTCAAATGTGGTAAAGCATGTAAGAACGAGGATAAGATTTGCAATGCTAAGATCAACAACACTTATTGCTCTATGTGGGTACAGAGGAAAGAAGTTGGACATTGGACAACAAACATAAGACCCCTCTATCAGCAGTGGCGTAACGTTGCCTATTGGCGCCCCCTGCCAAAAATGCGCCCCCCTGTTGGCGCCCCCCCCCTCTTTTGGTGCTTCTCCCTAAAATTGAACAAATTGGGTGATTTAAGAGGACACGCCGGTAAAATCTCTAAAAATGTGTGTTTCTATAGCAAAACATGCAGTTTTGCTAGTACCTCAGTTAAGTTTTTTTAAATCGTCCCACATTCAAACGACGATTTTGTGTGCGCCCCCTAAGATGGCGCCCTTCGCACAGCGGGGTCAGCGGGGCCCTTCGTTACGCCACTGTCTATCAGAAGTCTCATACAACCTCATCCCTGCCCCTGGCTCTATGATGGAGTAAATCATGTGTTTTGAAAATGTTGTGCATACATTTTGTAGTTGAAAGTTCAAAAATATTGGTAACAATGGACCATTTCCGTTATCTATGTATTGTGCTCCGTAAATTGCAACACTCGATTTAATTTTGCTCTGCCAATTGCATGACTTGATTTTGAATGTTCAGGGTGGGCCAAAAGTCAGTACTTCCGCCGTCTTTTATATTTGAGAGTTGTTGCTTTGCAGATGGCATACTGTACTTTTACCACCTTACCATTCTGATTGATTTTTCACATGACTGACATGTTTTAACTGGAGAAGGGGTTCGCACAGTGGTAGTTTTATAAACCACTTTTAATTTATTGACCTATTATACCTAGTGGTAGTTTTATAGACCACATTTAATTTATTAACTTATTATACTTAGTATTTATTTTTGGTGACTGTATCACCCAGTTTTAACATTTGATAATTGTACAGTTTATTGACGACACATTGACTGAATGTTATTTTATATTCTAATCTATATTCTAGATATTTTATTTATTTTTCAACAGACGACAACTTCCTGTTTTTTTCTTCTATATTAGTTACTCATATCTCTTGTACAGACTGTTTTACAAGGACATTGACAGATGATACTCACATTAGGCATTCATTATTGCATCTAAATTATTTCACTTGCATTAGGTTTAGAAATTTATTCTCTGGTTAACAGATTTCAAATGTTTAATTAATTTGTAGTATGACAGTAAGGTATATAAGAAGTTATTTAATTTTACTTGGGCTATTATATTGACTATTGAGGTTTAATGATGATATGGAATTTGAATTTTATATAAATTTACACTATGTGGTTGGGGCATTTTGCATAGTAAATATGGTTACTACTCCTATATATCATATTATTTGATTGGTATTCGATTTCTGATTATTGCCCTAGGAATATGATTATTATATCTCAATTTGGCTTTAGGTAGGGTGCCCCGCTAAAAGAACTGGATTCTTCCAGGAAGCATCCCGTGCACAGAGCTTGGTCTACATATATATTAAATTATTAACCATTCATTCTGTATGTGCACGAAAATTTATTTCAATCAAAGTACCTACTTTTTCGGTCGTGGTCTAAAATTTGAATATTTTAGACCACGCCCATTCAATATTAAAACACCTATATTGTTCTTTCTGAACATGTTGGACGCCAAATTATTTTTTGAGATGGTAGATTATTACATTTTGCATCTGTTCTGAAAAAATGATTAGAAATTAGACGAAGAAATGACGAAGTTATCAAGGGATTTGTGTATCTCGTTAGCAAAATTGATTGGGTGATTATGTGACACGGTGACACGAGACCTTAATTGGGCAGCCTTAACGATTCCCATTTAATGTTTAACGGGGTAGTTAAAAAATATCAAATAACGGAGTAGTTCGCTGTTTATTAGTCTCATGATTGAAATACTGATATCTGGATATTATCCGGTTGGAAGAGACAAGGACAAGTGAAACAAGGAAGTTAGGAGTACGGGCAAATTTTCGGCGTCAACGCCATCTTCAGGCTAAGTTAACGGGGTCACCTTATCACGTGATTAGGTAAGCCAATCACCTGATCACACGTAATGAATAAACTCGTTATGCTTCGTATCTCAGTCATCTGAGAAGCTATAACTCTAATTTTTTCAAGACAAACGTAATTCAAATGGCCAAACTCAATTCAATGAAATTTAGCTCGATCTGACTATCCAAATGATCAAATAAATGCAAAAATGAAACTTCATTTGAAAAAAATGAACACGAATATTTTTGGAGTTGACAAATTCCTCGAACCAGTGGTGGTACCAAGTTATACCAGAAAGAATTATTTCAATCGGGCACTCTGTGACTGAACTATAAAGGCCAACGTATGGGTACTGACTTTTGGCCCACCCTGTATATATTGTTTGAATAAAACTAAACAAGCACCCACACCAAATATTGTTGGTTCAGAACATAGTTGAGATCCTTCAGTGGTAGTGTTAAGGCCAAAGAGCAAGCTCAAGGCTTTTTCCTCTCTTGCTTGATTTGGGTGTGTCTACTGTCTATCTCTATTTACAAATCTGTAAGACCCATTATAAGAGCGTGTCATCTTAGATGGGCGCCAAATTGTCGTTTGAATGTGGGAAATTTTGAAACACATAACTGCTGCAAAAATTTCAAGTTTAGTGAAACCACCATGACCAGCAACATTTATCCAAAACCAGGATTGTTAGTTTCATATGATCGGATTATTATTAACTTACTTGAAATCAATTTTTCCACATTATCAATAAAGTAGTATGTTGGACAAGAGAAACAAACAAATTGGAGAATTCTTAATCTAGCTAAATCAACAATTTTCTTTCCATTATTTATGTGTAAGATCAAGTTTTCAATGGTATCACCACATTGGACCTGTTCCTGCATCAGCACAAAGGAAGTTGTCTGCCCAGGTGTCAGGATCTGCTGGCTCCAGCCACTGTACGCAGCCCTTTCCTTGGATTGGGCCTGCACTGGACCAACTAAAGTGGTATTGTGACCAGTGTGGCACACACAAGTAGTTGTCCTGCCAAGTATGAGGGTCAGCTATTTCAGTGATCTGTGTGCATCTCATCCCAGCAATAGCACCAGCACTACTCCAACGTATCTCTGGATCTGTTGAGCTAGCCTCCCAACAAAAGTAGTTGTCTCCCCAGGTGTGGGGGTCTGCTGTTTCAATACTCTGGGTGCATCGGTATCCTGCAGGAATTCCAGCAGACCACCATTTGAACTGTTTCGGCCAGACGGGGAGGTTTGTAAGATCTTTTGATTGAGCCAATGCTATACTTGATGCAATAAGGAGGAGGGATAGGATTCCAAACATAGTTTCTTCTTCAGCTGGCAAATTGAAAGTAGGAAAAACTGGAATTGACGCTGTTAATAAAAACAACTATATTTATTGTCAATAAGTGTTACATGTCAAGTTCACTTGTGATCAAGGCACCTGCTTCAAGATTTATTAAATTGACGTCATCAATTGTTACTTTAGCAATCTTCATTCATCATTTCTTTATCAAAGCAATAATGAGATGATAACTTTGGTAAAAACTGAAATGACGCTGTTAATAAAAACAACTATATTTATTGTCAATAAGTGTTACATGCCAAGTTTATTTGTGATCAAGGCACCTGCTTCAAGATCCCCTTACAAGGACAATAATCTGTCATTATATAAGAGGGCCACACCCATACTGATAAAGTCTTGTGAACCAGCTAAGCCACTTTGCACAAGTGTGTTAATTTGAGACTGTTGTCAGTCAACTTTCCTTTGTAGGCTGATTAAGAAAACATTAACCAGCTGCTCAATTTTTGTGACCTCTTTGACAATTAGACATTTTATTTGCCTTTCAAAAGTGAGTACGCTCGGACCCACTTTTGAAAGGCAATTGTACTTGTTGTTGATTCACTGGTTAATTGTCAATATATTGACAATTAGACATTTCCCTGACAAAAAATATTTGGAAAAGAAACTTGTTAAACTCGATGATGGGGATTTTGTCCCGTTCATATGTTTGATAGGAAATAGGAAATACGTTTGGGACATAATATACAGATTAATGTTGCAAAATTTCTTACAAAACTTCAAACAATCTTCCTACAAAACTTCCTAAAATCTTTTTACCTTTAGGATGATCAGGTTTATGTTGATCCAGAACAGGGCAGGGAAGACCAGGTTAGCAAAATGGTACATGAGTTTTGATGACGAGGAGAAACAAAAACTTATTGAAGAGGTAAATCCAAGTTATATTCACTAATTTGGATAATTTCGCGAATGTGTAAACTCAATCTTTTTATGCTACATAATAATAATAACAAATTAATTTTATAAGTGTTTTTTTTCTTCTGACCTGAAGAAGACTTGTGCTGCTGCTATTACGCCAAAGAAGATCTGTACTGCAGTTAAGACAATAGCTGAAAAGGACAAAAGGAGCAGAAACGTCGTAATCTATGGAATAAGTGAATCCGGCGGTGAGACGTTAAAAACAAAGTTGCTGAAGTTCTTGATGAGATAAACGAGAAACCTTCATTACGTGACTGTTGTAGGGGCAGGAACCGAGAGTGCCCAATGTCATGACAATTTTACGACAAGATGTGACAATATGTGCCAATATATGACAATATTTGATATTATATGACAATACACGACAATACATGACAAGATGTGACAATATTTGACAATATATGAAAATATACGACAATATACGACAATATACGACAATATACGACAATATACGACAATATATGACAATATATGACAGTATACAACAAGATTGACAAAATGTGACAAACCGTGGGAAAATGGGCACTATCGGTTCCTGCCTTTGTAGAGTTGGTCTGAAGAGAGCCGACACATCACGACCTACTAAGCTATCTCTGAATAGCTCTGATATGGTTGCTCAGGTGATGAGAAAAGCTTAACTTCTACGCACAAAAGAGGGCTATAAAAGTATCTACATTTGCCCGGACAGATCAGTGGAAGAAAGAAGAGCTTTCAAGAAGCTCTGGGAGGAATTGAAAGAGAAAAGGAAAGCAGAGCCCAACAGTGTTCATTTCATAAGGAACAATAAGATTGTCAGCTCTGATAAGAACAGTGTATCAGCCTTGTCTGAAGAAATTTGAACTGTTTCACATTCTTCACCACACATTTATTTTGTCACAATTTTGTTTCACATTTTTGTATCATACATCGGGGCCATGTGATTGCAGGCACATTTTACTGTGCAGTACCGTGTTAGGTCTCCCGTCAGATTTTCCAGACGGGGGCAATAATTTATTCGAGTTTATTTTATACGTTATAATTGCTGTACTCTGTAAAGTTTGAAAAGTATTTAATAAAAAATTTACCTTTTAATATTTATTATCTTTACAGGTTCATGCATGCGTAACAGTCCGAGACGCAAAACATACCAATTTTGTAGAGTTCAGAAACTACAAGATAGTTTATAGAAGATATGCTGGTCTTTACTTTTGTATGTGTGTCGACGTTGAAGAGAATAACCTGATGTGCCTAGAAGCTATTCATAATTTTGTTGAGGTTAGTTTCTGAAACATAAATAAACTTATCTGCATCTTTCCATATTTTCCTTATCGATAGTTTAGTTGTATAGTACAGTAACATGGTCTTGCGATTCACGAAACATCCAATTTATAAAAATAAACGATGGTTTAAACTTTCTTACTGCTTAACTATAATTAAACTTGACTAAACTTGACCCGTTGACCGCTTAATAACCAATAACCAGGTTCTGAATGAATACTTCCACAACGTATGTGAGCTGGACTTGGTGTTCAACTTCTATAAAGTTTACACGGTAGTGGACGAAATGTTCCTTGCGGGGGAGATAAGGGAGACAAGTCAAAACAAGGTGTTGCGTCAACTTACTGCTCTTAACCAGCTGGAGTGAAACTGTTTGTGAGGGAGGAATGTGAGGAGTGTTAGGAATGTCGATATAACAACATTTTTATTGTGATATTTTACACTGCTGGCAGATCAATACAAAGATTGTTTCTTGAATTTCGTTTACGATTGGTTAGCTTTTAGATTAAATCTGGGTGAAAAATTGTTATTATGTTTATAATACATTCATGTTCATCGCTTATATACGAACACTCGTACTGTTAGTACTATTTTTAGATCAGAGATAGAGACATATTGAAGATGTCGAAACGTATCATGTACATGTACAGGGCGGTCTGTACGTATATTCTTACGTTCAAATGGCATTTCAGGTTCAAAAGTTTTGCATTTGAGGTAACATTTAAATCGTTGATATTTTGAACAATATATAGCTTCTTTAAGAGCCCTTTATATTTTAGGCGTATTGAGTAAATTGTGGCATCTTTAGCTTTTGTATGACTACTTCGGTAAGATTTTTACTTAGATTTCAAAGTAACCATAACCGAAGTTAATCTTGCTATTGTTCGAGCTGATCATTTGCATTTAACTCATGTGCATGTTTTGCACAGGTGCATGTCATGTCTTACTGTTATTTTTGATTGTTTATAATGTAATTTACTAATTTTGATGTATCACATACTTTGTGAATATCTGAGCCTTACTAATTCGTTTCGTAAAAAAATTACAATTATCTCAAATAAAGTAATCGTTTGATTTCTCGACACAAAGGACCTTATTATCAACGTTTTGAACATTTCTAACCCCTAAAATGTCAATGTTAAGTGTAGAATGGCGGGTGAGGAAAATGAGAATGAAGCCTCTGGAAGCGGTTGTAACGGTTGTTCAAGTGAATCCTGTCATGCTGGTCAGCCTAAGAAAGGTAATGATATCTGCTACAATAATTACACACAGAATGAGATAAATTACTTTGTGGTATCCCTTGTTCTATTCCATGCCTCTTACATAAAGTGTTACTAAATTAAGACTCAGTTTGAGTAAATGAAAGAGAGCAGTTTTATAACTGTAAGATGGAAATACTGATAAAAGTTTTAATCGTGAAACTAATTTATATCGTTCGTTAGGAACAAGCAAAGCTCAGGAGGAAGCAATGATTAAGAAGTTGGGGCAACAGTTGATGACAATGCAGACAAATAACAAGTCTATACCAAAGAGCGAAGACGAGGCCAAACATCGGAACTATCAGTTCTGGTCCACCCAGCCGGTCCCTTCATTCCACACCGACACGGAGGTAATGTTAGCTCATTAAATTGGTATGCGATTTCTTAACTAATCGTAATAATCCCAGTGTTTGGAATGTACGATACCTACGGATGTATGACTTGTAGAATGTAGGTGTACTGTACAATTATAGACTGTAGACGAGTTACTCTCCCCCAGGGTAAGAATGGTCCAATAGAAGAGGATAAGCCCCTGGCTGAAGTACGACAGGAACCTTTCTCTCTGATCAAAGGGTTCGAATGGAGCAACGTAGATCTCAACGACGAGAAGCAGCAGTCAGAGTTATACCAGCTACTCAACGAAAATTATGTTGAAGATGATGATAATATGTTCAGGTTTGATTAAGTTTTTTCTTTTTTGAAAGTGTGAAATTCTAGCTACCTAAATCATTGCCGGATATCACCGTTGATTTTAACCGATCATAACAGTTTTCCCGTTTCAGATTTGACTACTCAGCTGCATTCCTGAAATGGGCACTGAGGCCACCAGGATGGAGGGAAGAGTGGGCTTGTGGTGTCAGGGTCAGCACTAACAAGAAACTTGTGGCTTTTATCAGCGCTATCCCAGCTACCATAGAGGTTGGCATACTTTGTGTAGATCCCCAAATTTACTAAACTATAATTTTACTTTCTTATCATTAAAATTCATACTATAAAACAGGAATAACAAACGAATAAAACCGCTTTGTCTGGTAGATACACGGCAAAGAAAAGCACATAGTTGAGATAAACTTCCTGTGTGTCCACAAGAAGATGAGAAGTAAGCGTGTAGCCCCGGTGCTGATAAGAGAGATAACACGACGTGTTAATGCTACTGGTGTGTTCCAGGCTGTGTATACTGCTGGGGTGGTCCTGCCTAAACCTATTGCTACCTGCAGGTAATGGTTATGTTAATTTCTCTACAACTGGGTGATACGGAGTGGAAGGAAACAACCAAAGTCAAATTTGTTTGTTTATCAACAAACACATGGATTCGTAGGACGTAGATGCAATTGCATACTCAAAGTAGTTGAATCAAGTTTTACTTCGCCAATTAAAATCTAGTTAAGGTTAAATGGACAAGAAATTGAGCATGTGATGCAGTTGTACAACACTCAAATTCAAAAAGAAATGGATGCGTTTATTAAGTTCACCATTTATTCAGGTACTGGCATAGATCCCTGAACCCAAAGAAGCTGATTAACGTCCAGTTTGCTTCACTGAGCAAGAACATGACTATGCAGCGAACTATAAAGCTGTACAAACTACCTGAGGTAAGATAACGATACTGACGGTTAGTCACAGGTTACAGTTATCAACATGTGCATACGCGAACTTTTCTTCTGGCGCTAAATCCAAACACTCTTTTAATGCACAAAGCAGGTTTTGTCGAATTTGAAACTAGCAATAGAAGCGCGCGCGCACGTACTTTAAACAAATTGCTTATTTAGCAATCGCAAATGATCGAGCAGCTTGTGGAGCTTGAATGGCCGCGGCCGGCCGAATGCAAAACGGAGTCCACTGTTCATGACTTCATGATCGACCGTTAAAAATATGACTTTATGCCTCATCAGCTACGGCTCCAAGAGGACCAGAAAAATTAAAAATGCAATGTTTGCGCTAATGGTGTACCCATGTCTTCACCCATTCATAGAATGTTCGCAATGCGGACGAAAACAACGCTAAGGTCATTTCTTTTGGGTTTCCTCCGTTTAAGTCTACTCTAATTGATTTATTCACGTAAGAATGCCACTCGTTGACAAGGGAGGGAACTAAATTCAGGGTTTGATCTATAGACCATTGCACTTTTCGTTAGAAATAAAATTTTTATAAAATATATTGCTCAATGAAAGGTAATTACCCTAAGCAATAATAGGAAAAGTTCGCTAGAATAAAACTACGCCGTTAATTTCTTCTCTAAAAGATATTTACACTGTTTATACAGTCTAAAATGTTTTGTTTGAATTAAGTAAAAATAAGATAGAACATATCAAATTACATACAATATGCTAAAATATAAGCACTGATTTAAAGATAAGTCTCAAATCATTTATTTAATACTAATCCGCACCTCGGACATTTATGAATGGTCTCCTTACACCCCTTGATCATGAACGGGATAATGCAACAAAATCCTGTTAACAAGAAAAGCAAGCAGCAGACAATCCAGGTCAGAGTGCCAGGCTCTTGAGTTACTTGTGTCACAATGTCTTCACTGCAGAGAGGACATGTCAGACAGACTGGGTTTGATCCCCTGGATGCCATGGCCTTGGCAATTCTCTGTCCATCGTGGGATCTGTTCGTAAAGTTCCCAGGATGGTTAGCAGGATTACCTGCTGCTTGGATTGGAGGGTATGCTGTTCCTGGCCCTGGTCCTGGTTGGGGAGGAGGGTAGACCGCTGGTGGGTGCGCTACACCTGCTCCTGCCATTGGGTAGTAACCCGGCCCCTGCCCTGCTGATCCTTCTTCTGACTGAAACCTCACTCGTGGGGTTGCTGTGTTGTTAGCTTCATTTGGTTGATGATGAAACATTTGTTCGGGTGATCTTGACGGGGAGTATGTTGGAGGGTAAGAGAAACGTGTTGGGTCCAGGTAAGGTGAAGGGGATGGGTAAGAGAGACCTGATTGCTGCGATGGAGTGTAAGAAGCCCTGGGAGGTCCGGGGTAAGGTGAGCCAGACATGAAGGGCGAAGGAGGAGGGTAAGGGGAACCAGGTGATTGACCTGGAGGATAAGACATGAAGGGCGAAGGAGGAGGGTAAGGGGAACCAGGTGATTGACCTGGAGGATAAGGCATTTCATGATGGAAATGGAGTGGCAATTTTCCTGACACTATTTGATGTTGCTGATTGCCCGTAAAGGTTGTTTCAGCCTGTGGTTCTGTTGATAATTTGTTCTCATATGATAAATTATTAAGCGGATGACCAGGCGACGAGAACACATCGGTATCCTGACCATGGTGACTCATTCCAGTAATTCTATAGAATTTACTAGCTAAATAGCTAATATCACTACAACTGATTCGGTGCACGGCAAAGACAGAAGAAACTTCACAAATAAATAGTATATTACACGGAGTGTAATATACTATTTGACTGCAGTGCTACCGAGTCACCCGGTTAACATCTCATCACCTCGATTACTCCTAATAACTCTGTAATCCTACAAATTATGAACTCTTGTAAGGACTGTTATTCACACGGCTGGTCTGTGCGTGTACGGTTTTACATCATATAGTAATGACTTATGTACAAGCTCAGGTTAGCTCTGCTTTGGTATGGTCTTCTTGTTCTTCTTCAATTCATGGCATACGGCATACCTCGCATCAACAGTAACAATATTATATGGCCTTGATACCTTTCTTCGCGTTTGAAATCAAACCATCTTGTGACACGGATATTTTTGGAAATCTCAATAGACAAGTTCAGGATGAGTCGATTAATTATTATCCTTGATGAATGATATTACAGTTTTAGTGATACCAATGTCAAATCACACTTCTTTTCAGACACCACGGACTCCAGGGTTCAAGCCTCTCGAGAAGCGTCACATGGAGAAAGCCTGCAAATCTCTCAATGATTACCTCTCTAAGTACAAGCTCCATCAGCAGTTCTCAATTGAGGAGTTCGAACATTGGTTCCTACCGAGGAAGGATATCGTGTACAGCTACGTGGTAGAGGTACGTTAAAAGAGGGGTTTATGTTTTACGATTTTATTATCCTTTTATATGATTTTTAATTCAATATTTTGTCGTTAGAACAAGTACTGTCTAGGATTGATCAAGATTTGAAATTAAAAAAATGAAATAAAGAAACATAAGTTAGTACAGCACAATATTTAGCATCACAAGTTGCTTTAAAGTCAAGAACAATTATAACCGGTCGCTATCCAGTGTATATCACACTGTTTACTGGCCTCCTCAACTGTATACTCCTCTACCGAGATAGCATAGAATAGATTTGGCATCCACAGCTGTTCAGTTGTGACCGAGGGACAATTTTCCCCATTTCCAGTATGACTGACTCTCGTTGTAGCTGTTATAACGGGGTTAGAAACAAAACCACATTCGCTCACGTCAACTCGTTTACCAAGTTTCCAATTCCGCCAGCCCATGTAACTCCAGGACTGTGTTGTATCGTCGTGTCTGCTGACGCCGGAACAAATCAGTGCACAAGGATCAGGGTGTCTCTCTCCATCTGGTGTGTCCAGAATCTTTAAGTTGGTTTGAAGAGTGCACTTTATTACCAACACCATCACAATAAATCCTAGTTTCATCACGTTCTACTTCACGATTATGGAGACCGGACAAGTTGAAATGTTCAGGAGCAGCTTAAAAAATCCTCAGAGTACATCTGTCTACCCTGCTATCTTTAATCACGTTTAACGAAGCTCATATTAATCATTAGCAGGTGCTAGCTCCAATAGAGGATTGAGGCAATTATCATTGTCCCAAAATGCAGGTGCCTTTTGTCTGACATTTGGTCAGGTACGATTTTTATTTTATATGTTCAAATTTCTTCACCACCTTGTCAGACACAAAACAGCTTAATTATTTTAACACTCGTCAGACGTCACTAAGAACAAAAATGCAGGTTAGCAACAATTTATAAGCAACAAATCTAAGACTTTGCGTCGATTAACTTTTGTGCAAAATTAACATTCTATTTTTCTATAAATTAAAGTAAATTCGGCGAATATAGCTCAGAATAATTTAATATCTCTCGCCTCTCGGATCAGCTTAATGTTACTAACTAAGTTTAGGCCTACAAAGTATAAAGCAGGGCCAGGGGACTTGGGCTGGAATCCAGACTGATGTGTAAGAATTTTCTCCCATTTGTCGTTCTCCTTCCACTTATTTTATCCATAATATTCTTACATTTAAGTAACATTCTGGGTGTATCTAATTATAAGGGCCCTGTTTGGTTCAGAGAATATAGTTGGGAGGGCCGTTTCGTTTTTTTAAATACCCGAAAATTTAAAGCACCAAGAATGGCAAGAAACAAATTAAACAAGGATATAAAGAATTCTAGTTTCTTGAAAGTTACTAGCAATTGAAACCAGTTGCCATCCAGTGTATATCGCACGTCTTTTTTCGCATCAGATAGAGAAATTCGCTGAACTCCAAGAGCATAAAAGGAATCTTTGCTCTGATCCTCGGTAATGAACGCAGGACACATATAATTATTTGTATTGTAGACATCTTTTGATCTTGTTGTTACTGTAACAACAGGCTCTGAAACAAAGTTACACCCCTTCATGTCAACCTTTTTGTAGATGTTACCGTTTGCTAAGTAATGCCAGAGATTTTTTGGATCGTCGTGTCTGCTGACGCCTGAACAAATCAGTGCACAAGGTTCAGGATATTCCACTCCATCTGGTGTGTCCAGAATCTTTAAGTTTATCTGAAAAGTACACTTCATTACCAACAACATCACAATAAATCCTAGTTTCATCACGTTCCTGAAGGTTCTTGTGCTAAAGAAGTTTGAAAATCGTACTTATGATTGTGACCAAGTTGGAAATGAAAACATCTGAAAAGGTCAGGTTAATCTCTGGATCTCCGTTATTAATATTACTCTTCACAATATGATTATATCATTGATGTTACCTTATTCTTAGAACTATGTTTTAATGTTTTCTGTCTACTAAGCTTTAAAGTCCAGGTGTGTTGTAATTTTTTTTTTTATTAAATACTTTTCAAATTTTACAGAGTACAGCAATAGATGAATATAAAATAGAATCGTTCAAAATATCGCCCCCATCTGTAAAATATGATGGGCACCCAAACACGGTAAACACATAGTGAACTATGTCCGCAGTAACTTGGACCCATTACATCGAATTAATCTAAATCCAAAAATTTATGAAAAACTATTTAATAACAAACAAATCCATGGTGAATAACTGTGGATATAGAGTCAAAATTTGTATTTCAATACGTCAAATTCCAGATACATTAGATACAGGTCTGAAATGGTCATTAATGTGTGAGAAGGTGTGCGGGTGAAGTGTGAATATGATGTTGAAAGTATAGGAAGGTAGATAAAAAATTAATAAAACAAAAATAATAATAATATGGGGAGCAAAGAGACTAGGCTAGACTGTTGTTTCACTATCCAATAAACATTTCCATAGATGCTTAGTGACCTCAGCTTTGAAAAGACTAGTAGACACAATCTGTCTTACCTGTAAAGGGAGTCCCATTCCACAGTATATGGTTTCTGTAGAAAAATGATTTTGCCAGTGGGCTATTTGAGGTACATTGTGGTGTGTGAATTCTGACTTAACTTAGGTAAAATTGATGACACAATAGACAGACTGTCGAGGTGGCAACGTCTTAGTCGAGAAGTGCCCTGATATAAAGAGAGATAGTGAGGCAGCGATACAGGAATTAAATTGTTAAGAACTTTGTGGAAAAAAATAAGATCATTCAAGTCAAACTTTTGAGACAAAGGGAGAATGTCGACAAGCTTGCACTTTTGACATATTGCTCAGGTGGATAACTGCGGCCCCTCTTCAGACAGAATCCATTTAATAGCTCTCTTTTGGAGACTTTCTAATTTATCACTAAGTGATTTATTTACAAGGGCGCCATATTATGGAACAATTTTCGAATTGGCTACGAACCAGGGAGAGGTAAAGCGCCCGGCGACGTTTCTGATCAATGTAAGGTTTTTTTTTTTCCAATGTCTCAGACACATAGCTAGAATCTGTGAATTTTAGGCAGACCCACTCGACCAGGGGCCAAATTTTGCGCATTTTTCCCCCAACCCCGATCCCCATTTTGCCTCCCAATTATTTTTAATCTGTAACTTCTAATGGGGGTTCCGTTTCATTTAAAATTAATTTTTTCGTTTTGGGCACTAGCCCACACAACTACCGGGGGCAACCCTTTGGGTTGGGCTAGGGAGGGGAAGCCACCCCCAAAAATTTTTGAGAAATTATTTTTTTAAACCATTTGGCATTAAAAAATTTGTAAGTTTTTTAAAACAACTTCAAAATATTCAAATTGGGGAGGGCTAACGGGGCGCACCGGGCCTTGGGAAAATTTTTGAAAATGGGGTTTTCCAGACACATTTTTTGAGGACAAAAATAATAACTTTACAATAATCAATTTTGGGGGGCCCGGGGGGGAAACCCCCCCGGGAAAATTTTTGAGAAATAGGGTTATTCAGAGACATTTGGCTTAAAAAATTTTTGGGACACAATAATCATAATTAAATAAAAAAATTGGGGGGCTGGGGAGCAAACCCCCCAAAAATTTTTGAAAATATGTGATTTTAAACGGTTTTTGGCAAAAAATTTTTGGGGGACAGAAAATCAACACACAATAATAAAAAGGGGGGGCCGGGGGGGCGCAGCCCCCCAAAAAATTTTTTTAAAATAATTGTTTTTGACGACATTTTGCATTAAAAAGGGTTGGGGACAGAATAATCAGACCCCAAAAATAATACAAATTTGGGGGGGCGGGGGGCGCACCCCCCGGAAATTTTTTGAAAAATAGGTGTTTCAACACATAGGCATTAAAAAATTAGTGGGGCAGAAAAAACCTAACACACAAAAAATTTAAAGTTTTTGGCGGGGGGGGGGCCACCCAATAAAAAAATTTTTGAAAATTTGTGTTTTAGAAAAATTTTGGGCTTAAAAAAAATTTGTGGGGACAAAAAATTTTAATCGACTCACAAAAAAAACAAAGTTGGGGGGGCGGGCACGCCCCCGGGGCCTTTCAAAAACTTTTGAGAAATAGGGTGTTCCAGACGACATTTGTGGGACAGCAATAATCAGACATTACAATAATACAAGGTTGGTGGGCTGGGGGGGCGCAGTAATAATCAGACATCACAATAATATAAAGTTGGGGGACTGGGGGGGGGGGGGGGGGGGAGGGCGCAGCCCCCAAGAATTTGTAGGACGGCGATATACAAAGTTGGGGGTGCAGCCCCCCGGAAATTTTTGAGAAATAGGGTGTTTCAGACGACATTTGGCATTAGAAATTGTAAATTCAGAACATCACAATAATACAAAGTTGGGGGCTAGGGGGAGCTCAGTACTTGTCAAATTGAATGGAATAAGTACATATTGTATAGTGGGATTTGGGAATAATTTACGAAATGCTAAAGTCGATTGCCTGTCGTGTCGTTTAAACAAACAGTCATAAACACAGCCCACTTACAGGCGACCATGGGGACTACGGGGCTTATTTTTTTTGGGGTTCAATTTTTTTCCGGGGGTCTTCCCCTTGACTACGTGTCTGCATTCTAGTTGCCAGACCCACTCTATTAAAGTGCAGACTCAACATTTTGGTTGCCAGACCCACTATTCTAGAGTCCAGACCCACAATTCTGGTTGTCATATCTCCTATATTCTAGTTCATAGACCCCCAATTCTGGTTGCCAGATTCACTCTTCTAGAGAGGAGACCCACTCTTCCAGTAGGTATAGAGTCAAGACCCACTATTCTAAAATGCAGACCCACCATTCTGGTTGCCAGACCCACTCTTCTAAGGCGAAGACCAACACCATTCTGGTTGGCCACCCCACTCTTCTAGAGGTGAATACGCAACCATTCCGATTTGCCCTGACCCCACTGTTCTTGAGTGAAGACCCACCTTTCGGGTTGCCGGACCACTATTCTAGACTCTAGACTTCAGACGCACAATTCTGGTTGCCATATATCCTA